GCCAGACCGAACTTCCCGACCTCAAACCTTGTGGGCGGGACTAAGTTCGGAATGGCACCCAGGCTACCAGGAAGTCCCATTGAAATTCAGAATCTCTTTTTCAACAGAGACATGGCCAAAGTAGCAGCCAAACCACAGGAAGTTCATACATATTTACAACTTATTACATTTTTCATAATTAAAAAAAATTATAATAATAAAATTTAGAGCAGTATGTTAAAACACATTGAGCATCTCAAGAAAAACAAGCACATATCTCCATCACTACATTCTTCATGGTTGCTTTAAATTCATTAAATCAAATTCATCATTTGAACTCTTTCTGGAGGTTATTCCATCCCCAAGGTGCAGAGTAGGAGAATGCAGTTTTTCCCAACTCAGTTGAAGCTCGGAGTACATTAAAAAGTAACCACTGAGAGGAGCGCAACTGATAACTACCAGAACTCACTGAGAGGAGTTTACAGAGCTACAGTGGGAGTTGACCAAGTATTGCTTTATAGATAAAGATATACCAGAGCTGTTTTCTACAAATTGTTAGCGATGTCCAACCAACTAGATCATAAAGAATGCAGTGATGAGTAAGGGACTTAGAATTTTTAATGAATCGTAATGATGCATGGTACACTGAGTCAATATGACGCAAGATGGAGGATGCAGCATGCATGTACAATATATCTCCATAATCAATAACAGATGTAATGCAATAACTCTATATTCAATTACTACTTTCGGACTTTAATTCAAATAACTTTCGGATTGTCATATATATTGTCCTATATTGTACAACAAATGAAATCGAGCTCATGTCATGGTCAAACACTTAAATCTGCACAGAGTTAATTCTCATGTTTTGAACTTTACTTCGAATTATAAGAATTTATTTCAAAAATCATTCTACTCCAAGTCGAACGTATTTTAGTTAAGAACTCTTGACTAAACCAGTGAAACTCAGCGTAATTAATGTACTATGTACACATTGAAATAGAAATGACAATGGGTGAAAAACAGAATGAACTAGAAAAAGCTGTTTCGCAGAAACAGCAAAGTGGGAATGCTTTTTTGCTGAACAAAATAATAAAAATTAGCGAAAGAAACTGCGAGAAGGAAAAGAAGCACAAATTAGCTGAGGAACGTATGAAAATGTGAAAGGAAGTGATCAGAAACTGCAAACTGCACAAAACAATTGAATCAACTGAAGATTTTGTAGGGTAGAATCATCTGGCAGTAAAATGGCAGAAACAGACTCATCTTAAAAGCTTCACAGCCAAACCATACATGATATCAAAAAATCTCTAGAAGGGTCTAAATGTAATGTCTCCCAAGTTTCTAGAAAAAGTTCTAAAGAAATTTTGAAGGTGGGGCCACCTACTTTCCAGAAACATGTCAG